TATCACACTTTTCTTCATGGGAGAACATTTTTCTTTAAATTAATGACACAATAAAGCTTATAAACAAGTATTTACACTAATGTTTGACATCATTTGATTTTATCATTGTTTTCCAAAGCCTTCTAGTTGCGAGTATGTCCAGTTTAACAATTTGTCGCTTATCTTAATGCTGTCAAATCGCGAACGCCATGTTGTTTTCATAGCCGTCTTAATATTATAATACTGCAAATAATTAAAAATATTTATCGTTATTTTGACTTTATTTTTGACTTTAGCGGAAAAGTCAATATGAACTTTTTTGTTTAAAATTTGATGCTTTAACAGAAAAAAATATAATATACAGGGGTTTCCATTTAAAAAAAATGTTATTTTACTGAAAAAAATCAAAATAACGACTCTCAATTGTTTTTTTTTATTTCTCATTTTTACCAGCGTTAAAAATGCTACTAGTTTGCTAATTTAAACAACTTTGTATTTTTACTAATAACAAAGTTACCAATGGTGGACACTTAATTTGGATAACCCTGTATAGGGAGTTTGAAAATAGATGAATGCAAGTTAAGTCTAATTATTGACATCATTTTTCAGGTCTGGTATGTACTTTCTACTCGACCATCGGTGGAATGAAAGCGGTACTGATGACAGACGTATTCCAGTCCATTCTTATGTTTATAGCAGTGTTTAGCGTCATAATATGCGCGGTAGTTGAGAAAGGAAGTTTCGCAGAAGTGTGGAGGATTGCTAGTGAAGGAGATAGGACAAATCTCTTAAAGTAAGTATAAGTACAGGAAAGTTAAACGAGGCAGTAGAAGACTAAATAAAAGTTGCTGACTAGCAACGAAGGCGGCTGGTAATCATCGAGTGCGACAATTTAGTGATTTCTATGATTAACTACACTTTGACTATTTTACAACTTTTACTTCCCGCGCTGACTGGGAAGTGTTTTCAGTGTAACGAAATTTATATACGAGGGTTGTTTCAAAAATAAGGTTCCCATATTTTTTTCAGGCGCAAGTCCTTAAGATAATTCTGTGTTACTATCATGCAACTTCAATGCATTCTTTACAAAATAAGTAGCAGCTGACAATAGTAGAATAGATTAAAAAAAAAATTTGCTAGTTTTGTTAGAGGACAGTCTTGTGCAAATACAAATGATCAAGGTAAATAGTGATGTCTGATTTCAAGCGGTGTTATTGCAATAACTTAAAGGTCCCTTGCCAGATTTTGTGTTTTAGGCTAGAAAATGGGAGCAAGGTTCAATCTCTCAGCGATAAAATGACTTGATGAAATAAATAAAAAAAATATTTTAACCCTATTTTTCGCGAATAAAAAATTGAAGCAGATTCATGTTCTCGTCCAGTAACACTTTTCACACGTTTTCACGAAAAAACGTGTCTACTTACAATTTCATCTGCAACTACGTTAGATTTCTGCTGGATTGTCTGAATTGCGAGGGTTGTTTCATTAATACGGTTCCCACTATTTTTTAAGGCCGTCTCGAACCGTTGACTAGGTGCTCCGACAATTTCGGAAATTCTATGTTAAGGCTGCCACGGGGTTGGGCA